CCCTTGCCTGGGACCAGCACCATTTGACACTTTGGCCGGTTCATCGTATGCTCGACGGCAGCCCTCTTGCCTCCTGGCCTGCCGCACAGGGCCGGTCAGAGAGAGGCTGCTCAGGAGGCTTTAACTGTGCAGTCAGATGACCTGGGCTGGCCATCCCCGTTCACCACTTTGTGGCCATGATATCCCAGACACTCATCTGTTGCCTCTGAGGAGCAGTTCCCTCCTGTGTAAAACGGAGGTACTAAGGATTCCTCCATTTTGGGGTTTTCCCAGTATTTGAGCCAACGTGTATCAGTCATTGCTGCCTGACACAGTGCCTGGCAGAGAGGAGGCCCCTACAACTAGCGGCACATGTCTCCGTCCCTGTGGGCCAGATGCTTAGGCGAGTTCCCCAAGGTGCCTCTGGGCCTGGTTCTCATGTGACTGCTGGAGACTCGGGCCACTGGCTGAGAAAACCACGGCCTGCGGAGCCTCGTGGAGAGACAGGGTTGGGCCACTCAGAGGAGGAAGCCAGAGGCACATCCGGTAACCAGACAGTACTCACCCTGGTTTTCTCTCGGCTCCCCTCTGCCTGGAGACACAGCCTCTAACTGCCTTCTGCCACCACCTCTAAAAGCTGCTGGAGCTGGCTTCACTCTTGGACATGTCATGTCACAGGAGCATCCTGAGCGTCAGTATCAGGGTTTTGCTTAGAGCTCCTTGGAATATGTGCTTGTAGAAATCCAAGGCACCGTTTTTGGCCATAATGCCTATTAAACCAAATATTTCCAGAAACCTCATTACGAAGATGTCCACCCTACAAGCTTATGATTGTTATAGAGAGCCACAAAGCCCTCTTAACCTTAGCCTGGTTCGACTCTTACTCTTCTGTTCCTGTGAGTAGCAAGGAGGCCTCTCCCCAGCAACTGCAGGTCGAGATTCACCTTCAGCTGATTACATGAAAGCACCAACACTGCCACCCCGTCCCTGAAGTGGAGCATCTTTGTGTCCCGGGTGTGGTTGCTCATATTCCAGTGCCCTTTAGCCAACAGAGAGTGCCTCCAGGGTTGGTAATACCAAGGAATCAATTATTATACCAAGATAGTGATGTGTTGGTTAATGATCTTTAAACTGTTGGCTTTGGCGTGTGATAGTGGCTTATTGTAGAACTAAACATAGTCTCTTGGATACTTCTCTGGAAGGCACAGCTGAGGAATTCACTAAGGGCCAGAGAAACCATAGTAGGTGGTTAAACTATGTCATGTTAGTAGGTCTATATAGTCAGGTGGTCACCTTAGTGTCCATGCAGTAGTGGACACTAATGGCCACCATGACACCTGTAGGGAGTCAGGCTTCTTGGGCTCTTTCGGACTCTCTGTCTTATGTCCCAGGTGGAGTTTGGAGGCTGAGCTTTAATGACCTCGTGTTGGCAAGCCATCTTCAGAGTCACACAGACATAGGAAAATCAGGCAGAGCTATACTACCATCCTTTTAAGAATTGTGCTTCCTTTGTGTTTATAGATTTCACAAGAAATGTAGGGCCACAGCCAGCGTGGCATAAGTCTAAATGCAGCACCCTGCCAAATATCCCTCCTACCCGAGCACAGTACTCCTTCACTCGGGGGAGAAAGGCAGGCAGAGAGTGAGAATCACTGCCTTTCAGAAGGAATGAGCCCCCCAAGTTTCACCTTTTTGTGCATTTCAAAAAGGAGGGAGGGGGATGGTGAAGAAGGATTTGCTCTGGCTTGGGCTCTGCAGAGAGGACAGACACCATCAATGACCAGTGTCTTGCTGGGAGTGGGATATCTAAGACCAGTGTGAGCAGGGACAAGGACTGTGGAGGGTGTGGCTGCCAAACCAGGTCTATGATCAAACGTGGTGTCAGGGCAGACTGGGGTCAGACACCAGACACAGGTCAACACAGGCCAACACAGAAGAAAGCATCACATGTGGGAAGAGCTGAGCCCAAGAGTTGAGTGTGGAAGGGAACTTGGAAAGTAATGTCAGCTTGGTGTTGGCATGAATACAAGGCCTGGGAACTAGGCTGCCCTCCCACTGAACGACCTTTGAGAACAGAGGCTCCAAGGACTGTAGGGTGTGGCTGCCAAACCAGGTCTATGATCAAACGTGGTGTGAGGGCAGACTGGGGTCAGACACCAGACACAGGTCAACACAGGCCAACACAGAAGAAAGCATCACATGTGGGAAGAGCTGAGCCCAAGAGTTGAGTGTGAAAGGGAACTTGGAAAGTAATGTCGGCTTGGTGTTGGCATGAATACAAGGCCTGGGAACTAGGCTGCCCTCCCACTGAACGACCTTTGGGAACAGAGGCTCTTTACAGTCCCGGGCTCTCCTGGTCCCTATATCTGACAGATCCTGCAGGATGTGGCCAGAGGGAGACTGTCGACTCTTTTAGAAAGGGCCTTTGGAAACATAAAGTAGAATTCAAAAAAGAGGGGTCCTTCCATGAGTATCAATACATCATTTCTTATAGCATAAAGTATAAAATGGCGGGTCACAGACCTTATCTGGACAGTGGATGGATTTGCTAGTCCTACAGAGATGTTTTAAAAGAAAATTATCTGCTCGCATTTAAAAATCAAGAACTTTTTACCTGAATAAAAGCCTTTGCAGAGGGAGCACCGGGGAGATGCAATAAGCCTAGTTGAGAATCTAGCAAGAAGTGCGTGGGTGCTGGAGGCTTCCAGTCTAGGCGAGGACTCATTAGGAGGTTCATGAGTGGAGAATGCAGCCATTCTAGGGAAGGTATCAGAAGATGGTACATGTGTGGAAGGTGCAGCCATCCTAGGGGCTTATAGATTAGAAGGTGCATGGGAAGATGCAGAAACCAACCTAGAGCAGAATTCCACATGAGTTGCCTGAATGGAGGAGACATCCAGTTTGCCAGTTTATGGTAAGACCTAGAAGGCCATGCATGGTGGAGGGAGCATCTAGCCTGGAGGAGAACTTCCAGGCTATGCATGGGTAGATGGATACCAGCCTCATACAGTACTCAACAACAGGCGCAGTAGTGGGGCCTATAGCCAACCTGGGAGATGACCCTGCGAGAAGTCCTGGAGTGGAGGGTGCAGATAACCTTTGGTTAGGCCAGTCAGGAAGTGCAAGGGAAGAAGGAGTATTCAGACTAGGGGAGGACTTGGTAGAACCTAAATGGTGGATGGAACACTCACCCTAGGAGAAGACACAGAAGGAGATGCATGGAAAGAAATAACATCTAGACTGTGGGGGGACTGGATGGGGGGTGCATGTGTGAAAAAGAGCCATTCCAGGGGTAGATCATGAAAGATGACATAAGTGGAGGATTCAGACAACCAGGGAGAGTATTCAGCAAGAGGTGCAAAGGTCGAGGGTCCAGACAGGCTAGGGGAGGACCTGACAGGAAGTGTATGGCTCATAGAAGCATTCAGCCTAGGGGAGTACCCAGCGGTTGGTCATGAGTAGTAGGCTGTAATAACTTAAGAATTATGTTTGATTTTTCTGTAATTGATGATTTGGCATCTTGGAATCATTGGGCCATGCTAATGGCCCAAGGTTGTTTACATCTCCATCATCCCAGTGTTTTTCTTGAGCATGAAGAAATCTTACAAACCCTTAAACCACAAGCTTCAACATGTTTTGCTTCCTGTCCAATGAGGGATGTCCTCGTCTAGTGGCTTCTCACCGCTATAGTAATAAAGGTCCTATTTTTTTTTCTTTCTCTCTGTCTGCTTCTCCCTGCATGGAACATGCCATGCCTCCCGTCCTCTGGGGAATTGTGAGTAATAAACTCTTCTTTGAAAGACAATTGGCTTCCATTTCCATTACCATATGTGACTAAAACAAATCTTGGGTTCATTTTAAAACAATTAGTGCAGTAAGAAGGGTAATTTGGTAACAGACAGGGATGAAATACCTCTTGGTTTACTAAGTGAATCCAACATACAGAAAATATTGTTGGCCAGTTTGTGCTTTAGTGGCAGTGTGTTATGTCTGTC